GATATTTATTTATTCTCGTCTCTATCTAACGACTCTTCAGTCTTTTGAATCTATCAGGTAACGTGCCACAGCCTCAGTACACTACTTCAATCTTTCACTTTCACGCTTGTACTTAGTAATTTTAGCGAAAACCTTACATACTGTTGGTTGGTTCCTGTTGGTTGTGCACATTTTTTACGAACCAAGTTTGTCAATGCCATTATAACAACACCGATTACTCTGCTTATACATGCCAGAGTCCTGAGGAAAAAGTGATTGACAGGTGGTAATTTGTGTGTAGCTTATCTTTATTTATTTATGATTTGGTTATGGGTAAAACAAAGAATATGCGGGTCAAGTAGTTGAAACAGTAGGCTACAAATAATTCATTCATTATGACTTAATTATTCATAAATAATTAATTCACCGCCACCTATGATGCTATCGTCCATCGTAATGTTTTACATTAGACATCGTACAATGCCAAATTGGTCTACATTGCCCAAGCCTAGTAAATATCCCTTTAGGGTTGGGTTCAAGCAGTGGTCTTTAATCCCAGTCTTCATTTAATTGTATACAGTGGCCCTCCAATCATATTTAGCATGTCTCTCTCTTATTTAATACACCTAATTCAGATATTTAACTCTTAAGAATGCATGAAGCATGTTCTGATTGACAGGGTGCCAACAGTGTACATTGATCCCTCCTTCATGGCTTCCCACATAGCAGTTTTTTTTCTTTACATCATTCTAATTAGTTCTTTCACAGATTTGCATAACATCACGGCCTGCAACATTTTCACACACAGATAACACTTAAGAGACGTGTGAAGTGACATTTTATCCATCCCTCTGTAAATAAATACAATATAAATTCACATTTCACACTCTAAAATGCCATTCAAATAAAAACAATCATGAGTTGGAATATTTGTTGGACAGTTGAATTAGGACAAGCATCTGAGGTGTTAAGAGAAACATACAGTATGTGTGGCGTGAGGACTGTAATTGAGAAATGCTGGTTTAAGGGGCAGATTTATGCATATAGCTTATGTAATTACTATGCTTAGTAGTACATATTTACTAACAAAATGCATTAAAGCGGTAGTTCACCCAAAAATGAAAATTGTAGTTTATTTATGCTTCACTTATTCGAGTGTTTTCTTCTGTTCAACACAAATGAAGATAAACTGAAGAATGTTGGGAAAAAGAGCCACTGACGTGATATTTTTTGTTCTTACTATTGATGTTAATGGCTATTTTTTTGTTTTAACATTCGTCAAAATATCTTGTTTTGTATTCAATAGAAGAAAGAAATTTATTTGTTGTTTGTAATCGCTTAACTGTACGTACATTTTCATATTTGGGGTGAACGATCCCTTTAACATACACGATATAGGCAAATATACTACGAGTAGAAGGTTTTAATCTTGAAATGCTATTAAACTGTACAGTGGTTAGCACTATTGCCTCACAGCAAGAAGGTCGCTGGTTCGAGTCCCGGTAGGGCCAGTTAGCATTTCTGTGTAGAGTTTGCATGTTCTCCTCGTGTTAGCGTGGATTTCCTCCGGTTTCCCCCACAGCATAGGTGAATTGCATGAGCTTAATTGTCTGTAGTGTATGAGTGTGTTTGAATGAGAGTGTATGGATGTTTCCCAACACTGGGTTGCGGCTTGAAGGGCACCTGCTGCATAGAACGTGCTGGAATGGTTAGGGGTTCATTCTGCTGTGGGGAACACTGAAATAGAGACTAAACCAAAGGAAAATGAATGAATTAAGTAGTACTTACACTTCTTCAGGCTGCTGGACCTTTTTCTTTTTTTTCTTTTCTTTTTTAGGTGGAGGTTCTCTCTCTCCTAGTAAATTTTTGGGACAGGCATAACTCAAATGCCCTTCTTCCTAATAGAGACAAATAATATTGCAAATAGTAAGAAACATTAAAACTCTTCCCATATCATTTAGTTTCAATTATACAAGTATCTGCTGAAAATGCTATCTATCCATCCATCCATCCATCTATCCATCCATCCTTTTATCCATCTATCTATCTATCAATCACAATAAAACCTAAATATCAGAAAAATTACCATGTGAAGCATACTATCCTATAAAAATCCAAAATCAAACAAAAAGTGCTCAAAGGTATCTTAATTAATGTGTTGGTGCTCTTTGGGTAAGGGATTCACCAGAATAAACAGCAAAAGTAAGTCCAAGGCACTTGTAAAAAATAATAAAAACAAAAAAATGTGAAAAAATATTAAAAAGCCTTTAATGACACGACTATTCTTTGGGGAATAGTTAAATAAAGTTTTTAAATATTTATTTCCACATTTTTCGAGTGCTTTGGACTTTTTCATAATCTCCTATAATAATAATATGTAAATTAAATCACAAACTTACCCCACATTCATAACATTTGGATTTGTCTGTGTAGTTTCTCTTTCGGATGAATTCTGCAGCTCTCCCGTTATCTATGGCAATGCTGGCCTTTACCATTCTCCCAAACAACTGGAATAGTCCAACATGTTAATTTGAACAGTTTAAACTAGGGTTGTCCAAACTCAGTCCTAGAGGGCCGGTGTCCTGCATATTTTAGTTCCAACACTAATCAAACACACCTGAACCAGCTAATCAAGGTCTTTCCAGGTATATTAGAAACATCCAGGCAGGTGTGTTGAAGGAAGTAGGAGCTAAACAATGCAGGACACCGGCCCTCCAGGACCGAGTTTGGACACCCCTGGTTTAAACAGACCATTTGTAAGTATTGCTGTTACATAATATGAGCATACCTGTTTGTTGTTCAGTGAGCGAGAACAGTTATAAGCAGACTCCCTGTCTAGAAACAGCACGAACGCCACTCCTTTACTCATCCGCGTATGCTTGTCTTTGACAATAGTCACCCTTTAAAAAACAACATTGTCACTATTATCAAGCCATGCATTGACATAAATATAGAAGTATAATACAACTGAAATTACATTTATAGGGTACTTACTTGACTACTTTGCCATATTTTGAGCATAACTGTCGGAAAGGGACAATAAATATTAACATTATCTCTGAGTTTACTGCAAAAATACATAAATATGTATACAAAAATTTGATATAAAGATAATAAGATAATATGTGATGCTTTGTTATTTTTAGGCCTGTCACAATAATCAATATATCGACTTATTGTACAACACATAAAAATGACCTTAATCATTTCTGGTGATGCAATATATATTGCCCATACATAAAAAAAAATCTCTTCTGGAGGTGTCAGGGTCAGTATAATTAAAAAAACACTACAGTATTTACTGTAAATTACTTTAGTTTATTTTCATGTGGGTGCCTGACAACTGAAAATAGATCTGGTGGCAGATATCGCATCCTCTGTTACTTTTTACCTTGCACTTTTTGTTAACCTCCATTATTATTTATTTAGGATATGTGTTTTCACATTCTGATTCCAATGCCTCATTATTAAACCGTTAAAATGACTATCAGATGACATATTCTTAAGAATAAAATGTTATGTGTTCTGTGGAAGAGTGTGCTTGCATTGTGATGCTATTATATTGTCATTGTGGCATTATATAATGAGTGGCAAAAATGGTATTAAAATGACAGTAAATCATTCATCACAAAATATTTTGTGCAAAATATCTTACAATAAAAAATAGATATTATGACAGGCCTTATTGTATTTAAAACTTATAATATTTAAGTTAATAATGTATGCTTTATATTAATATGTTTATTTAATAAGATCAACAATGGTAGAATGTATCATTGCTATTTTTTTACTCCTTTATATTATTTTAGATTAAATGCACACTCCTCAGGTATTCCACAAGGGCTCAGGTTTTTCATTTACCTGACAGTTTATCCAGCACTAAATAAAATGTATACTGTCTACGGTTTTATGATTGCTTAGCTTAATAATTATCCTTTAAGATAAACTGAAATTACAAAACTGGCTATTAGTTATCTTATTTATTAATGAAAACAGTCACTAAAAAAATGTTTGGATTGCATTTCTTAACTCCTAATGTCGCCAGTTAACACACTCGATGCATTTTTAAATTTCAACACATCCAATAGTTTCCAAAATATCAGCCACTACCAAATGGTCGATATGTCGGTTTATGGTAAAAGTATCAGAATTAATACATATACTATGGAAAAAATCTGAAAATATGAAGTGTAAGACCAATTTATAAAAACAAAAAAATCTAAATAAAACATTTTTGAATACTAAATCACCTTTATTTTTTGACGTATGCCATAAAATATTTCAGATTGTCATTTAACATGTTTTCTTGTTTTTTTCTTTTACATAAAACCAAAATCAAGTATAGTAATGAAACAGGATTGTTTGTTTGATTATTTCGTCAACCAACAATGCTGTGTGTGTGTGTAAACCATTATTTAAAACAGCCATAATTTAAAGCAATCAAAATATGATCATCCACTTGGCAGTTAAAGAGATAATGTAAACATAATTTGCACCTTGTGCATATCGCTGTTTGTCAAGGAGAATGGGATGTTAGACACATAAACAGTGCTTTTGCTGGGCGCTAAACCACCACTCATCTTTATCCCTGGAATCTGAAAAAGACCAAATCACATGTCACAACATGCAAAACATGATCCTTAAAGTACAAAAAAGTAAAGTACTACAAGGTTATATACATTTCAGACTTACCAACAATAATTTTATGCATGAATTGAAGTATTATGCACAAAGGACATTATTTATGACAAAGAAAAAAACTGCGTTTATGTTTATAAATCCGACGCAAAACATGAGCGCACCGCAACCCGGAAGATAAAGCCTTGCCGCTGTCAAAATAAAACACCTTTCATCAGCAAACACATTCCCAACTTACATTCTTACATGTATATCATTTACAAACACTCTTTAAAAGGTAACCAACCTCTTACATATAATATAATAGCTTCAACTTTAATTTAGCAGCCATTTTTTTAAAGAAGTGAATTGTTTGGTATTTTGAATTAAGATCAGACCCGGAAACCGTGTTTTTTGTGGAAGTGGAGTTTTGTTTGGCAGCGCGCTCAACCTTTCTCCACGTTTGCTCCTAAATGTGTTTTTCCCTCACGATAATTAAGTGTATGCAACCGATTTAAGTATGCTAGATTGATAGGGATACGTCGAGCAAAGCGTATAAGCGGTATGTGAACGCCGACTTTAGGTTTATACATGTGGAGTCTCTATGTGCTGGTGGAAAACAACATTACACGTATTTTAATGAGTTTATTTGGTAGTAAATTAGTTTATTCAATAGAAATTCATACACATGGCTATGTATAAATCAATATTGACGACTTATTAAGTGGACTGTGAACTAAACAAATAGATCAGTGTTTGTAGGTTAAAAGTGTGTGTGCTTTCTGTGTTACACAATGTTAAATGCGGTGTTATAATAGTCTATTATTGTTTAAAGTAAACCATTAAGCGGATAGATTTAGTTCTGGTTACTGATTGGTTATAATAACAGCAGTGTTTAGCTTGTCAGTTGTTTTGGTTTACTTATTTACGGTGCTATGTTTCTTACTTTAGCAGCATTCAAACGCGTTTAACTTGCTTGCTTTCTATTATTTATTTACAATGTTATTTACACAATTGTGTTCCTAACAACGACCCCTAGACTTCAATAAACAAGTGTGTGTTTTAACCATCATCCCCTTCACCACCAGACTAGTATAGAAGACTAATGTGTTCTACAATACATTAAAATGTTATCAAGTTCTGCTTTTACTTCACTTTTGTTGTTTAAAATGCAAACAGTGCATATTAATCCGCAGTAATTATTGGTTACAAGTTTTCAATGCGATATAAACTGTGTATTTCTGTTTGTTATATCTGTTTTTTAGATCAACACAGCTGAAGACAGAGATTAATAATTCAGAAACTAAAAGTAAGTGGTTTTAAGAAATGTGTTCTGTTTTATGTTTGATTGTAATGTAGAAGATTACAAAACATGAATGTGATTAGGAATCGTTTATATCAGTTGTTTTTGTCTACTATAGAGTCTTGAAATGTGTTTATTGGCTTATTATGTCCATCATACATTAGTTTGTCATGTTTGATAATTATTTTTTATTTTAAGGATTTATTCTGAAATGTTATTCAGTATAACAATCATTTGTATACCGAAATTTTGTCAGGAATGTTTAGAATAAAATAATAATAAAAGATCAATGCATTTTCTTATATTTTGTAGCTATGCTTGAAGCATTTACTTTGTTTTTAAAATATTTAAAATGCAATACAACCTTTTGTGATTACTTATCTCTTTTATTTGTTGTTTAATTCTGACATAAACATATCTGTTACACACTAAAAATCTAAAGAGTTTGAGGCATAGTTTAGTTAAAATTTAGGTAAAATGTACCTATTTTTTCTATTTTAGTTTTTGCTAAATTATTTGAAAAAAAGAAAGTAGAAAACATGCTTTCATTTGCTATGTTTATCAAATGTATGTATACACAGAATATGTACTTTATTTTTTAAAAACTTTTATATTTGTTGTTTAATTTCAGCATAAATATACCTGTTACACATAGGCATGGGACGATAGCCGGTTTTAAGGTTTACCGTGGTTTGGAAAAGTCAGGGATTAATACTGCTGAAAATGTTATCTTATACAGTTCTCAAGGTATATGTTCGTTTTTTTATGTATGATTATGTGTTGTAAAAAAATCTGTTTTTGAAACTAATGAAGAGAGAAGTGAATGATTTATTTTAAATATTTAGGCTGACATGTTTACTGCTCCACACAATTATTATTATTATTAAATTATTTTATTTTAAAAAACATTTATAATATATGTTTCTTAAAATAAAATAAATTGCGTTCAATAGGGAAAAAGTGTTTTTTTATTATTTGTTTTACCCAGACCTTTAAAAAGAACTCATTTTAGAGTAGTAATCACAATACAGTGATACCGTGGTATTTTTATCCAAGGTTATCATACCGTCAGAAATTTATACCAATGTCATGAGAAATCAAGTGCCCCTGACAATTGGGACACTGGGTGATCCTATTGGTTCTCTAGAGTTGTAATAAGTACAGTTTGTAGCACCTGATTAAAAAATACATATATAAATGCAGTGAAATCTCGTTTAAATTTATGTCATTTAAAAGAGTGTTGTAATGACAAAACTTTTAAATTATGTATTTCCTATACTGATGTACAACTACATGCATTTGTTGTGGCATGGAGAATTTCTCTTTATTTTAGATGTGCTTACGACATGCTACGACTTATGTAAATATATAATGTCACATGTAAATACATAAAAACATCAAAAAGACATCATTTAATGTTTACAAATGTCTCAATATTTTTAACTATGCATGTCTTTAACTTGTAATTACCAATAATAATGTTACAAATATGATTAGTCCTGTTTAAATCTCAAGACTGAGACTGACTATAGACTAAGAATAGACTATAAAAAGCACCAAATATAATTATAATTGCACTGTGGAGAAGTAGAATAGCTTTTGATGAGGCATTCAACGCAGACGATCCATTGGGGTCCTAAGCGGTCACAATTGTGGTTAAGTCTAGATCGGATATGTGGCCGACCATAAGTGCGATATGCACATTAATATAGCAGCATTTTTTTGTGACGCTGCATGACAATAATTTTTATTTAAACAGCACTGTGACGGTTGGGGTGGGGGAAGGTGTTAAAAAATACAATTAACTGGGTAATTTAATAGATAACATAAATAATACTCTTTACAACTACTGTTTTTACTGTGCTGTGACGGTTGGGTTTAGAGTTGGGGTGGGGGTAGGCGTTAATAAAATACAATAAACGGGAAATTTAATAAGTAATATAAATAATTCTCGTTAACTTCCAGGCAGCAACCATATCTGATCTAGCAACAACCCATTTATAGCAGTGTTAATATTGTGTTATAATAATATAACCATCAATTGCAGGGGGGACTAGATTTTTCACCACAACGGTCCATGCCTAGTTACACACTAAAAATCGAAATGTTTGAAGCATATAATTGAAATATAGATAAAATATATCTATATTTTTCCATTTCAGTATCAGCCAAAATATTTTCAAATAAAGTAGAAAATATTCTCTCATTTGCTATGTTTATAAAATGTATGTATAATTTAAATTAAATTAATGTGTCTGCGGGGTGTTAAAATGTCTGCAGTTTCAAAAACTAAATTTCAGGCCTTAAAAAGTCTTAGATTCACTGAAAAATTGACTTGTAAGTCTTGAATCATTTTTAACAGATCCTAATTTTCCTTTATGTAAAGCTACCCAATTGATCCAACACACATTTAATCACCAACAATGCATGTCGATAAAACTTTGAGCATAATATATATTTATAATTAAAGCTACGTATAACAGACTGTTGTGCATACATTTCGTTTATTGAAGTTTTTTTAAAGAGTTTTTAAGTTATGTTGAAAAAAATAGTATGTTTACAACGAGGGTCTGTTTGTTTTGACACGTTATTTAAAATATATGAGTAAGAAATAATGAATTAGAATTCATCTTTTGATGGCGAAAGTATTCTGCTGGGCCCTTCAACAAACCCTTAGCGTTTAGCCCTATGCAAGTCTGAAATGTCTTCCTTGATGGTCTTTAAAAGTCTTAAATTTGATTTGTTGAAACCTGCGGAAACCCTGTCTTTGAGCCTTAATGTATGTTCTTATGTTTACGTTGTATTGATATGTCATCTGTTTGTGTATTCCAGTGGCTTTTAGGAGAGAACGAAATTTAAGAGAGGTTTATGAAGACAGATTTGCCCCAGATAGAGCGGTAATTACTCATTTATCAGTTTCGTTTTTGTCTGCCGTCAGACATTTGGTTCATGCTGGGATGCAAACAGTTTTGCTTGAGCTTTTTTTTTATGTTTCAGGGTCCATATCCGAGAGGAGGACAAGGTGAGAGAAGACCTCCATTCGGGCGGCCTGATGAGGAATTCGGCCGTGGTTTTGAATATGATAATTCCCGCTTTTACCCAAACGGTGCTCCTCGCAACTACCATGGAGAGGATCAGAGAGGCTACCATGGAGACGGCCATCACAACTTTCCAAATGAACACAGGGGTGGACCTCCTGGACGAAGAGTAAGCTTTAGAGATACAGATTTCTGTTTTTGTATTTAATAATGTTCATTTTCTTCATTATTATTTTTATTATTATTTGTATGTCCGGGGTTGATTTCTTAGAATTATTTTCTATTAGTTAAATGGAAAAAAGGAAAACACTCATGTCACATTGCATCATGTCATTTAGGGCTGCACAATAAAACTTTTTAGCATCAATGTCGCAATGTGTGTATCCGCAATACTCACGTTGCAGGATGTGCAATGTCAAGATGATATTATAGTTAACAGAAGCCACAGTTCAAGACATGATTTGTGGAGTCATTGCCAGTTTTAACCACCCATTTATCAATTAGTTTATCATTTGCATGTGTTTTGTTTTTAAGCCATTTCAAAGAATTTAGGCACAGTAAATTATGTTTGTAACTTTAGGAAAGATTATATTTATGTGCATATACGATGAAGATTCACTATAGTGTTACATTTGATTATTCTTTTAGTGCCTGAATACTGCTTGACTCCCCAAAACCAGGAAATGCTGTTTGTTTAGTTTGTATCCTCGCTCTATTGTATTTATCAATGCTTGTGATTGTTTTATTATCATTATGCAGATGCACTGCCTTACAAAATCATCCTGATGAATCTATTTTTTATAAGTTTAAAAGATCATTTGCTGTTATTTTGATCTAGTGAAAGTATACTCATCATCGCTATATGTATCACAGATAAACAAAATATTGCAATGTCTGGTTTTTCTTTAATATCTTGCAGCCCTAATGTCATTGTATATGTGTTTCAGCAAGAAGACTTTCCATACTACAGAGGGCCAAGAGAAGAACCCCATGGTGGCCGCCAAATGGATTTTAGGTATTTGTTAAGTTGAGCTTGCCATTTTAGGAATAAAGGTGTTTTCCTGCAGTTGTGATAGGTGTATCATGAAATTTCAGAATCAGAAATGGCCATGGGCTTGTGGCAAATTACACCACAAAATAACACAAATTTTCTGCTTTGTCTGCTGGTATGTTATTTTATACAAATAAAACCATAGATATAATAAATAGAATAGAGAGTATTATTGTTAGATGGTCAGATTAAGGTGTTTATATATATATATATATATATATATATATATATTTATTTATAGGATTTTTACTATTAGAAAAGTTTTGGTTGTGAGTGTGTTCTGGGTTTTCTTCTTAGCAAGCAATTATGATGACTTGGATTTGAACAAAACAAACTTTTTACTAAAGTTTTTGTTTGTTGTAAATTGAATTAACCTTACTACACAGTGAATTAACCTTACTATAGTTACCGCCATGCTTTCAGTAGCACTAAGCATCATAGAAATCTTCTTAAAGCTGAATGCCATATTCAAATGTCTATTAAATCCAACCAGTCAAACATTAACTGAGCAGTCTTACTGTTATACTTCAATTGAAGTCACAACAGGCTAAAACTGTAATAGTTAAAGTTCTGGTTACTCGTTAGTTAAAATAAGTAGTACCGATTTAGCTTGTCAGTCATGTCTAGCCCAAAATATGTGATTAAACTTGCCTGCTTTTTATTTATTTGTGTTCTTAATAGTCTAATTCTGCTAGTAGCATCAAAGAACTCAGAGCCTTGCTGTATTTTGTGCCTAACAACACCCTCTAGCCTTTAATAATATTTTTGGGAACTTTATTGTTATTTTTACCTTTTTATTATATTTTTTTAGACTATATATATTTATATATATATATATATATATATATATATATATATATATATATATATATATATATATATATATATATATTGTAGACAAAATACAGATTATATAAAAGAGTGGTACTATTAGAAAGTCAGAGAAAGGTTTTTGTTTTTAATAAAAAAAATAAACTATAGAATACAGGTGAAGATTTGATAAAAAAAAGATGCACCTTTTGCCAATTCTTGATAAAGACTGACATTGATTGATAAGCTGACTTGAAACTCCAACAGTAGAACAACAGCAATCAAAATCAACATAATCTTGAGAATATGTCGGTGCTACAACATGTCTCAGTTGGCCTAATGCATTGCCCAGGCTTTTACAGAATGATGAAAATATATATCTGAAATTCATGTGGCCTAGATTTTCTGCAGTATCCATTGGTATAAATATTCTTTCTTACTGGAAATGTGTTCTTACTCTGAGTCACATGCATGTAAGATAAGCTTCAAATGTGCTTTGAGCGTAACATTTGGATCCTTTTTACACTTTTCTTTAGTGCTGACCCCTTCTGGGTCTTAAAATGTATTGAAAGCAGGGTAAAAAGTAGGCATGTTCATTGAAGGTCTTGTCATTTCCCCCAGCAGATGGCAGAATTGTTCCTTGAAAACACATTCGGTTCCCTCCAGCTTTAGTGTCTTGTTTTTATACTTTGACCGAGAGAATAACAGACGCCAAGAAACAAAGTTGCTTAAGAAGGAGCATAAATCAAACTTTGAGTTGTCTTACGTTTTCTGTTTGGTTTGTGTGTTGTCGGCTCGTATGGAAATACCCACAGACAGTCCTCCTGCCAACTGCGGTTTTCCCTTATCTCTTAATCTGCCTCTCACCGGTAATTAATTGCAACAGTTCACAGCAGGGATGGAGAGCAGCCAAATGAACTTCGTGTTGGTGCACCCCTACAGAGAGAGCGTCACTAAAACACTTTAACAGTGACTTCATGCTTTTCTTAATTGGCCAAATTAATGAAACATGGAGAGTCTGTTTTTACTGCAGGAAAGTCAAAACAGAAGATGGTTTGCTTGAGGTTCAGATTTCTTCACAGACATTTGAGGCCAGTGAATGAACTTTGTGTTGTCTGTTATTTATTTATTTATTTTTTTGAATGAGCAAAAAACAGTGACCCTCATTTATGTATGGCATCCACTAGGGCTGCATGATATTTTTTAAAAATGTAGCATTGCAATATTTTTTTTATTTTGCGATATACAGTTGAAGTCAGAATTATTAGCCCCCCTGTTTATTTTTTTTCCCCATTTTTCTGTTTGCTGGAGACATTTTTTTCAACACATTTTCAACCATAATAGTTTTAATAACTCATCTCTAGTAACTGATTTATTTCATCTTTGCCTTGATGACAGTAAATAATATTTTACTAGCTATTTTTCAAGACACTTCTATACAGCTTAAAGTGACATTTAAAGGCTTAACTAGGTTAATTAGGATAACTAGGCAGGTTAGGACCTTAATTTTGACCTTAAAATGGTTTTTAAAAAATTAAAAACTGCTTTTACTCTAGCCGAATTAAAAAAAATAAAGATTTACTCTAGAAGACAAAATATTATCATTAGTTAGGCTGGATTTAAACAAATTAAGTTAAACATTGCTAAATTTAATGTGTTTGTTTAAATTCAGCCCATATACTAATATTAATAATTAAACATGTGCATAATTGTTTACTGTTTAAAACTTTACATAAACAGACTTCACCACTAAATCAGTTCATCAAAGTTAGAACTTCTGCTGACCGAACTACTAGGGATGGTAAAAGGGGGGTCTGTATTATTCCTCTAAAAAAAAAGTAAATTCAGTCAGTCGGTATTTTCAGTGGAAGCTGCTAGAGAATTGAACTCCATCCCACCAACAATTAGAAGATTGTGCACTTTTCATTCTTTCAGGTTCATGTTAAAAATTGGTTATTGACAAATCAGCATTGTCGGCATTAGTACTGTATTTTTGGCACTTAGTTTGTCTTTGACTTTTTGGTCCTCTCTGTCCTCAATCTGTTTTTGTTTTTTTTAATTGGATATGATAGTGTATTCTATGTTATTGTGCTTAGATTAGTTTTTAGGTGTGACTTTTTAACATTCTGTAAGGGGTCTACAGATAAAAAAATAGCCATTCTTGGCTAATTCTGGCATATTTTGCAGTAATATTTATTAATGTGCATTGACCCTGTAAACAAATAAACTAAAATAAAAAATACAATGCTCACCATAACTGAATACATCGCATTTGGGAAATTAATATTTTTATCCATTTCTTAGTGTATATAGGCATTGTATTTTAGTGTATTTAAACAAAACAGATTTAACAGAGATATTTATTCAAATAATATTTTAGTCTCCAAACATATTTAGAAATTGAAATAATACAATTAAATTCAAGCAAAATATTGCAAAAAAGAAAATTACAACATAAAAAATGTCAACTACATTTTTCTATTTTCTTTTTTTTTTTTTTTTTTGCATCTCTTGATTTTTCCTCTTTTTAAAATGTGTATTTAATATTTTTCTATAACATAAATTTGGGTGTACTAAGCTCCCAATTTGGCTTCAGTGCTGACTAATGTATATGTACAAATATGATATTGTATAGCTTTCTATTAAAAATATGAATTTAAAAGATAGATTTGTGAGGGGTGTACTTACAGTGCTCGGCATATATAAGTTGTTAGATGAAGCAGCAAAACAGGCTCCTTGCAAAAAATCTACTTGAAAGTGACAGGATGTTTGATTCCTCCTGAGGACTTGAAACCTACAATTAATGTGTATATAAAAGGAAACATGGCAAAGGGAATAAGACAACTGCATGAAATTAACCCGAAAATAAATGCAAATTATAATTTTGAGATCAGGCATGAACAAACTGTCTATACTAGATGTCAAATTGGACATTCTAGGTTGACTCATTTGTACTGTTTTTACTGAATAACAAAGCACCACCTAAATGTAAATGCTGCCATGCTTTACATATTTTGTTGGAATGTGGAAATTTGAATACCATTAGATAATTTATTATAAGGAGAGCACTTTGATGGATATTTTTTTGAAAAGGTACCACCTTAAATCTTAATCTTAAATTAAATTTAAATTGAATCTTAAATTATTTATCAAATCAGACTGTATATCATATTTAACTTAAAATAAATTTTTGTGTGATGTTTATTTATTTCTATCCTATATATTTGTCTAACTTTTTATTGTAAAACAATTTTGTTTTTATCATGCAATATTTTTATGCATATCCTATTTGCCCAGCCATAAGTTGCTGATGTGGCAATAAATAAATACTAAATAAATAAATATATAAGTTGTTTGCAACCAGTATATTTTATTATTAATTATTTATTTACATGGGTAGACTTAAAAAAAGAACACAGTTTTGCCACTTGGTGGTGCTTTTGAGGTTAGTCTATGGCTCTCACTCGTCTAAGCCCTCTCTTGTTATTAAAATCAGACATTCCTAGGATTCAGTTTTGAAGAATGTCCTTTATACGGCCACTTAAAGCATTGTCCTGCTAATTCGAATAACCATGCATGTCAAACATGCTTTTAAAATACCTGTAGTGACCTTTTCTGTGCTTTAATCTGCCGTGATTGGGAACGAGAGGTTAACCTTTCTTTTTTTTGTTCTTCACTTGGGGTAATATCCTGGCTTCATATTGGCAGTAAAGACAGACATGTGGTAATTTGCTCTGTTAGTCCAGGGCAGACAGGGTCACCTGCACTTCAAACAGATGTGAGGGTCATTAAAGTTTTGCGAGGTCACTGTGTGCGGACTTCTAGTCGTGTGTTTGTGAGAGAGGGGAACCTGGCTGGGGTTCAGGCCAGGGTCACTCAGACCAGGTGCCTGTGAGTCTTTTACGTCCTCCCCGCTCGCCATATAAGTGGCACGTAATCGGCCTGCGTGACCGGAGGGTCCCGGCAGGGAAACCGAGCAGAGTAAACTGAAGGGGGTTTTACTGCCTTTAGAACAGATGTGTGTTAATGAATGTCTTGGTTGGCGGGTGAACTCGGCAAAGCCACGGTGCTGTTCTGTTAGGCAACGCTGCAGCTTTTTACAAGCCTCATTTTGCCCTCCTCTTTGTGCAGTTTATATTGAGTTGCGCTTTACAAGCAGGATGTGAAGCCTCTGGCAGAGTCCTTACACAAATAGGGAAAGTCTTAAATGAAGCTCAATGCAGAGCCTAATTTAAATGAGTCTCTTCTGTGTTATCAGGGCCAGAGGTGTCCTGTGTGACCAATGAGTTTCATAAAGGTCTTTAAAGACTTCATGTTAAATGAGCCAGTTACTCGAACATTCACACATGTACCATAATAACGATACATAATATGTGTCATTATTATTAAGGCTGCACGATGTATAGTTTCAGCATCGATATCACAATGTGATCATTCGCAATAGTCACATCACGAGCATGCGCAATGTTGAGTCTGGATTATAATTATTTAATATAATAAAATATATACTAAAGTAATAAAATTGTTTTTGGAGGAACAATTTTATAAGCAGTAAGGTCAAAGAAACTGTACCATTTTTAACTTTGTCAAATTATATTATACAAATAATTTCTATAATGAAGACTACGCAGTGTTATTTTACATTTGATTATTCAGCTACTGTATATCTGAATAGAGTTTGACTCCTCTGAAAACAGTCAAACACTGATTATTTAATTAGTATCTTTTTCTGTTTTGTGCTTCTGTATACTTGTTGATTGTTTCTTATATTTTTTATGCACATGCATTCCCCTACAGAATCATCCCAATCTATCTAAATTATATTCATATCGCTATATATATCGCAGAATAAAAAGAATTGCATTGTTAGGTTTTTCTAATATCGTGCAGGCCTAATTATTATCATGAAAAACTCACTGGTGCATGAATTAAAACATTAAGAAGGAAATATATATATATATATATATATATATATATATATATATATATATATATATATATATATATATATATATATATATAATTCTGACTTCAACTAAACTATATAAACATATATATAATTTTTTCTTTGTTATGCTTTAAATACAATCAGAGTATTTATATACTTGTATTTGTTTATTTTCTTTACATGATATAATATATTTATACATTGTTTATCTCACACTTTTTAAAATAGTATTTTGTATTATCATATTTTAATGTTTATAAAATATCTAAATTAGAAAATGTTGAATATTTATGCATACATATGTATTAAATTGTTTAGGTAGTTTCATATACTTTATCCTATTTCCATAAACTGATGTATTTTAAGTTATTTTTATTTTCAAAGCAACAGAAAATAGTGATAACCCTTACAGCTTTGCGACATTCACTGCCCTCTTGTTTTTGGGTTTATGACAGCATAAAATCAATATGACTGATAAGTGATATAGAAAAAAAAACTTTTAATAACTTGGCATTTAATTAGGTGAGCAGATGATTATAAGCAGTATAAATTATATAGTACTAGGACAAATGAAGTGATCATACCAGACCTAAGGCCAGTGGAAACATCTCGTCTGCTCTCTTCTGACCCTTCATCCCAGTACACTCAGTCTCTGACCCTACAGGGCATGGTTCATATAAACAAGTGTCATGAATTTAATGCATCGTCCCCTTCTTAACCCCATTCTAAACCTGTCAGAGGACAGTGAACAGCTAGTTTAACCACACAAGCGTCCTTTAACTTTTTTATGTCTCAAGTTTGTCTGCTTATTAATGTTTGAGAAGTAGTATCACCAATATTCTTGGTCACACTTTACAATAAGGTGTTATTAATTAATGTTATTGTATTCACTAACATGAACTAAGAATAAACAGCACTTGTATTTGTTCATCATAGTTCAACATTTACTAATGTGTTATTAAAATACAAATTCATAGCTCTGCACTGTGACTTAACAACTAACAATGAACAACTTTAATGTAATAAGAAATGTATTCATGTTAGTAAAGACATTAACTAACATTAAATTATTTAACCTTATTTTAAAGTCTTATTGTCAATTTCGCCACATTTTCATACATAAAAAGAATTGAAACTGCTAATAATACAAAATTACTACAAGAGAAATATAAAATACACAAACAAATAGAAATAATTGTAGTAAATTAAAGGGAAAGACTACTAAAATTTACTTAAAGTATTAATTACAATTAAAGTATTCAAGTAAGCATTTTTTGCTCACTATATACCAATAATTTGACCTAGTTTTGCTCTATTAATTTTGTTCTGTTTGGTTTGATATTCATGTAAAATGTTTAATGCGAGTATCTTACTATTATGTGATTGTAAATATTTGTCTTATTTCATTTTAGACCCAGTAATCGACCTGGTCCCCCACCGAATGCTCGAGTCCAGGGTTCTTACCCCGGGCCTAGGTCTATGCCTGGCCCTGATGCAGGAGACGACACACTGATACAGGCCATCATGAACCTGGACCGGGGGTTTGTACTGGTATTCTTTTATCTAAAATGCTCCATATTACTTTATTAAAGGCAACAGAAACTCAAAGTCTCCTGTCCTGCAGGGAAGAACGGGAAAACGTGAGACGAAAGGCTCCTTTTCCTCCTGTGCGTGAACGATCTCCTGCCCGAAGGGACATCCCACCTTCACCTCACAGTCGGTCGGGGTCTAGCATAAGCAGCCGCAGCTACTCTCCAGAGCGGAGCAAAGCGCATCCCTTCCCACCACAGCAGGGCAAAAGTATGAAACTTATTTTTCACCTCACCTTTGTTTAATATCTGATCATATGTTGTTAACAGAGATGCATAATTGTTTCCGCCTTGTGTAAACACTCATTCAAATGCATCTTGTTGTACTTGTCTTTGGATTTTTATCTAGACCCTTCTTTCTTATTTCGTCAAGCTCTAAATCACTTTCACAGGAGCATTAGTGTGACACTTGAGTACTTTTGAATGAACACATCTACAGCTTCAATGCAGCCAGCAGAACAGCAAGCGAATGAAATTATGTTTTGGTCCAGTAGCGAAGTATGTGTGTAGTTTTTTTGGTGCTTTTTCTCACAAAACGTCACATAAAGGACCACATTTTTGCACAATGAGAAAGATTATGGATCTTTTGTGGCTGTTTCTAAGCATTCAGCCGCATGAGCATTTATACTATGAATGCAGTTCAGTCAAACCTATTGAAAGTGGACAAGCTCTAAAGGTTTTAGACTGTATTTACACTTGTATTTAGTGTTCACATTTGATCAGATTGACGAAAGTATATCTCAATATTAGATGTAAATGGGGCTTTTAATTTAGCTTTATTGCACTTATGCACAGTTGAAAGGTTTTTGTGTGTGTTTTAAAATGTAATCTAAAAAATGTCAAATTTAGCATTCATTACTCCAGTATTGTTCACATGATCATTCTAGGTTGCTGATTTGGCATTTAAGATTTTTTTTATTGTAAATGCTCAAAACAGCTGTTACTTAATAGTTAAAGTGGTCCCTTATTGTTTGCAGGAGTTACGTTCTAAAAATAACCCGCAATAGGCGAAATTTGCAAAGTAGTCAGCCTTATTTTTCATAATTATTATAGATGTTTAAAGGCTGTAAAGCCCCTCACTACACACTTCATACACTTTTCTCAGACAGATTTTAACATTTTCACTTTTCTCTCTCGTTAAAACACTCTCAAAGTTCAAACCTTCGTAGAAAAGTAAGTCCAATATTAGCATTTGATCTTGTTTTATTTGTTCTGAAATTATCGGGGTGTCAAAATTAATTGTTTCTTCTGTGCACTGTGATGCAGACGTGAACAATTCGGTATTTGTTCAGTAATAAACACAACCGGTTATTACTTACTGGCGTCATTTATCTAATATGCGCTTTGTCACTGTAGTTTACTATGGCGAGGGAGGCGAGTGTGAGTAATTAAAACACTGTGACTACATAAAAACACAGAAACTGTGCACAATTCACTGTGTGTTTGCTGGACAGTCTTTCACTGATATACAGCAGAAGCTGTTTCGCTGTGATTGAGAAAATGTTAGTAAACTCCATTTCTCTCTCATTGTGGCCCATTTGACCTGCTGACGTGATGTTTCCTCTCCTCTCAGCTGTTATATTGATGCTTGTGGGTCCAGTTTTCTTCTCCGTGTCTTAATGGATCAGCTGTGATCGCCGCTGCCGTTTATAAGCGTCACTCATCGGTGAACCGCACCAGAGAGTTAGCGCCAATTGCAGCCCTTTTTGTTGAGCACGTGACCAATCACAGGGATGTAAGAAAGAACTCGCTAAACAAGGTTTAGAAACCAAGCAGGATATTTACATTTGTTCATTAGCTGTAAATGCTCTTGTTGTTCTGTGCATGTACTTGAGTATTTAATGGTACAGTCCCGAATGTTTCTATTAAAGGAAAAAATTACAATTAATATATGAATATAAATATATTTATACATTGTGCTGTGAAGTATTTCACAGTGTATGGAAAGCTTCGTCAATGCACCATGATGCACCGAGATACAACCAAACTGTGAGACCAGTGTAGCTTCACACCTCTACGTAATAAGATAACTTCTACCTTCCGTTAGCAGATCCAGAAGTCCAACTTTTTGTGCAATGGTTAGCATCTTCCTCTGCCTTTTGGATGCTACCGCAGGTGTCTTTGTGGGTGCAGAACGTTTCGTCGACATTGTGTGGAGAAAACTTGCAAACATACAGTTCAACACTTTAGAGTCACACTGCTAGCGATCGAAGATTTATGTATATTTGTGTATAGGAGACACAGCATGGAGGAGATTGATTGACAATGGTCTACTACCAGTCAGGACGCAGAACACAATGCGCTAATCGGGACGCAAAACACAATGCGCTGTAAAAAAAAAAAAAAAAAAAAAGGATGTCAAATTGCACGAATAAAATCGAAGCTGCGAGACCGCAAAAGGTGAACCACTCTATAGCAAGAAACCTTTGTATATGAAAACAGTGCTGCATTCTTTTGATTAATTAAAATGACAAAGATGCAGAAAGATTTTAATTGCATGAAATGTTTACTAATCTTAACTATACATAATTTTTTGTTTTTTTAATTAATTAATGAATTTATTTATTTATTTACTTATTTATTTGTTTATTTTTAATTTCCAGTTTCTGTTATGATTTAACGCAGTGGTGTTTGCAGGTCTAGACAGTCTGCCAAGCCTTTCTGCATTTCCTATGGAGAATTTGCATTGGCGGGATCCCCCACACACACCGACTGTAGATGGTGCGAAGGGTCAGTGCACAGCTTGCAGTGTAGTTTTTGACCTGACGTGGACTATTTGAAAAGTGCTGATTGATTTAAAGGCATTCCTGACTAATTTGCACGCGAGCGCATTTTAATGCACGCAGCTGCGGAGTGGAAAGACTTTCCCTGGATGCTTTATTCCTCATATAAACTAGACAAATGTCCTAAATGCTTCCCAGACATGTCTGATATGAGTCGTCGTATTTGAAAATAGACAGGCTTGGACATGACTGCACCCAGGCGTCCACCACAGACCTCCGATCACAGATGATGTCACTCAAAGTCTGTCCTAATAAAGACTCCCATCTGTGTTTGTTTCCCTGTTCTCTGTTTCTATAATGAGATCCTCAGCAATGAGCTCCAGAGAGGCGCTTCGAGCGGCCAATATTGGATGCACATGTTTGGGCTGTCTTTAGATTATGCTGGCCTGAAAAGACAGAGCAGGCTTGCATGAGATCATATGATCTAACCTTTATTACCGATGAAAGTGCATCAAGAGTTATTGCTCACTGAAAATTACAATGCTTATTTTCTTTTTTCTCCTCCTGTTTCAGGATACGAGGAGCCATTTGGGCCAGGCAGAGCACCTGGTAAGTTAAACAGTGCCCTGTTGGCTGGACAAATGACCTGGTTAAATTTGTTATGTGTTAGAAGGCCCACATGTAATTTGAGCTTGCTGAAATGTATGGATTGACAGTCGAAAAGACAGTGTTTCCACCTGGTATTGACATGCATTCTTATGAAGGTGGTCAGCTATGAAGCTTAACTGTTTCCACCTGGCATTATAACATCACCGGGTATGTTTGCATGGAGACCAATAATCTAATTTTAATACAATTAAGACAATACTCTGATTAAGAGTCTTCCATGTAAACAGTGATTTTTGATTGATTTAATGTGGTTAAGGTCATAATCGAACTAAATAGAGATCGAATAAGACACTTGGATTATGCTAAATTTTAGTCGCACTATTGAAGTGCAGTACAGACATGAGAACACCTTAATCAAGCTTTTAGCATTGATTTTCGTCGCATTATGCGCCAGGATAGTCTACACACACGGTTTTTTGACACTATTCTCTGCACCTACCAAAGGACCCTATACAGTGTGCACTATCAAATTCCAAAAACAACACTCTTCCAGCAGATCATACTCTCATCCAATATCTCGTTTGTCATGGAGGCATGCATGAAATGTTCCTGAATGAATCTGAAAGTGCCAAACTGCAGATAAATTCAACAAATGAAAAATTAAACACCCAAAATCATATGAAACTCCTTAATCATATTATTATCTTATGCAGATTAAGGCAAATAATTTGATTACTAATGTCCATGTAAACGTAGTCATTGGTAAGCTCTTTTTTTTTTTTGTTATAATGCCGTACAGTGAAGTATGAATGCCTTGTTTGGGAGAAAATATTATAAATATGTATGTTTTGAACTTGATGTACAGTTGGACATGATCACAGAGTAAACACAACCACTGACTTTTTTTCTGGATGTTACATGCGTATCTGCCAAAAAAAGTAAAAGAAAATTTGATGTGATCCTTAACACAGTTACACTACCATCTACAAGTTTGAGATTTAACTTTTTTTCTTTTGTAATTGAAATATGTTTGTTATTCTTGCCAATAATTCATTAATTTTATTCAAAAATAAAGCATTAATCCTGAGAATTGTTTTGTAAAAACGTCTTAAAATTATCGTCATAAAACGTCATAAAATTTGATTTAAATATAATATATATATATAAATATAATACATTTCAAAAATGTAATAAATCCCTTTGATGACAAAGCTGAAGCGGCTTTAGCCATGAATAACCCCACTGAACTGCACTAAGCTGAACTTCAGCTCTGAAAACTAGACTGACAGTTTCAAGCCCTATTTAGACTAATACATTTTAGTTTTAAAACGTATAAGGTTTGCTGCAGTTACGCCTTCCATCCACACTAAATGGGAGTTTTCAGGCACCGAAATTGGAACTTTTTGAAAACACTGAAGGGGCCGTTTTCATTTTAAAATGCTGCTGCTCCATCTCGATGTGGATGGGGGAAAGCGAAGACATCTGCAAACGGAGGATTGCAGAGCCGATTGGGGCTTGATCTGATTGGGGCTTTTTCCTCAATATTAAGTAGCCTACAGACAGTTCAGTCTTGCATTCTCTTCTTGTAAGTTCAGACTTTGCAAGTTTGATATGGAAAACAAACTCCAGAGCACACTTTATTTTTTAACCTCATTCACATCACTCTGGCTATGCTGTTTCACTTTCTTAACAATAAAATGAAAACATGATATAAGGAACTGCCATTTTTCATTTTGATTTTAGCAACTTAACAGACACCAAAACTGCTGAGGCATCGTGTAGCTACATATTTATATGAGCGTCATCTTCACTGCGTGCATATTTATAACAAAACTGAGCCTCTAACATCACTGCCTCCTTTCATTTTCATTTAAATATGAAACATACCCTCTCTTTTGCTGAATATCAGTTTTAATAATTAATGATGGCCATTAGAAAAGTATACCGAACAATAACTTCATATGTTATAGGAAATAAAGGCAAGCAATCAGTAAAATGTGTAGAATCTGTGTATGTGGTTACATAATATATTACCTTATCTGTGCGCTCAGCCAAAACGCGTTACCTGAGAACAATAGATTCAAAAGACTAAAGTCGGGGAATATGTCGCTAGACAACAAGATGCATTTAAATATCACATTTAACAACTATAGTGAGATTAGATCCAGAGGTAGATCCTTAATGAGCAGTCCGACGTCCACAGCTCTCGTTGCTGCAGTGCATCCCAGAGTGTGTGTGTGTTCACGTGGTGTGCCATTTTAGTGGGATAGTGTGGACGAAGAGTTGTTCATAAACGCTGGGTGAAACGCTAGTGTGGACGTGGATGGTTTTCATTCTAAATCGTTGTTTTAAAACTAAAATGAATTAGTGTAAACGGGGCCTCAGTTTACTAGAACTTCTATGTTAAGCTGCTTTAACACAATCTACATTGTAGAATCACTATAAAAATAAACATGAATTGAATTACTGCAGTCTTCAGTCTGCTTAATATGTTTTAAAACTTATTTTACATTTACATTTTTTTTACATTTAGTCATTTAGCAGACGCTTTTATCCAAAGCGACTTACAAATTTTGTACTTTAAAGCACATGGAGTCCAAACGAACAAATTGTATTTGAAATAGAAACCCTTTGTTACTTTTGTATTATGATTGTCTTTACTGTCACCTTTGATCGGGTTATTGGGTTTTTATATCATCCTTTAAATAACAAACGGCCCCCAAGCTTTTTAAAGTTAGTAGGGAACTCTTGGCCAAGACACAATTTAATATTTTTAGAAAAACCCAAACACAGAAGAGGAAAATCAAACTCCTTTTGAATCCTGATAAAGGAAGTTTTACGGCTCACCACAAGGAGATTTTGTTTCGCTTGGGTTTACGAGTTAAAGGTCAGCCTGCAGTCACAGTAACTTGAGAGAAAGCGTTGCTAATCGCACCATCGTAGAGCCTCATTTTGTTTGTCTGCTTTTCTCTCACTTCCTTTGGCTGGGGATCGTAAAACGTCCACAGGCGTGTGTTCGAGTGTCTGATTGTTAAACCTTTCCTCCTTCCATTCCTTTTTACTTCCCATTGCCAGATGTTAGATAGCACCTCATGTGTATGAGGAGATTTGGATTCGAGTCTCTTTAAATCTAAACGGTCTGGTCCAGGCTTCTCTCCGCTCCAAATCAATTTGGCCAGCTCTCCTTCATCCTTCGCCGAGCGAATCCTTAGGTGTCGAGCCCACATTTCACACGGAGGGGGTCATAGGGTGACACTGCCGGCACCTGGCTGTGGTTTGCCTGCAGGGAAGAGCCCTGATCGGCAGTCAGGGAACCACCTGGTTCTGCACGCCAGCTGGATGTTCGGAAAGCAAACAGGACCCGTTCCAGCATGCGAAAACGTTTACGGCACCAAATGAGTCAAGCAAGGCCGTATTCTGTGGCTTTCTGGGGGATGTTGATCCACGTCCAAACTATAGCTGCGTTGTTGGCTAGCGTCCTACAACAGATGCTTTGTTTCTTCCTTACTGATTTTACTCTTTCATCTCCTGCAGACAAGGAAAGGCCCCCCGGCCCCTCCGTGAGTGCATCACGAGATGGTTCGCCCCATAGCTCCGTATCTGCCACTAAGGTGAGCCACACACACTCACACACACTGCAGAGCTCTCAAACAGATGTGCCTACCAGAACACTCCCTTTCATCCAGTAAAATAATAATATGTGTGACGTGCCTGCCATTTCAGCTGATGGTGAAAAAACACACTTCATATTTCCACTAGTAACCGGAGATTTTTTGGTAATTTTGAAAAGCTGTTGGCTTGCGCTTTGCTCTTTTTTTTCTTCCATATGATAGGTTTTAAAGGGTCCTGTTTGGCGTATAAAAGGCAGGCGTCCGTGCCGTGTTTATTCAGACTGTAAGCACGGTTCTGACACAAAGCACAGTGGGTCGCTAAAGCAGAGTTTGTGGACATCGTGGGGCCACCCAGGCCGCGCATAGCTAAAAAAAGAGGGTGAAATCCATTAGCTCAACTCTCTGCTCTATCATAAGATCTTATCGGAGGCTCTGAGCACTCTGGAAGTACTCTAGGGAGCTTTGAGAGCCTAGAATAAATTTGTTTCACTGTTTTTCTCTTGCGCTCCCCTCTTGTTACTATTTTTAGGCTCGGGTGAAGTGAATCTTAGGAACAAAATCAATGCTAAATATTTTTTTCCACAAAAAAAACAAAAAACAAAGAAAAATTAATAATTACAGTCTCTTCTGTGAAAGCACATTTTTATTCTTTTATCCGTTAGGAAAACATTATAACCACTAGCAACATTAGTAGCAACAGGCTAGCACAGAAATTCCATTGAAAATACTGGGGAAAATAAACTTATATTCTAACTTGTATATAGTCATATTTTAAAGTCATGGCAAGGGGAAATAATATTTAATGCAGTGCTGCTTGTCCGATCTAAGTCCCATTTCATTTCATATATCTTACAGGCAGTGAAGATTGCTGATTTTTAAAGAAATCAGATCTTTAATGTGACAATTTTGTAATGCAAAAGCAGTTTACCGAAATCCCTTGGGCTATCTGGCTGAAAATTAAAAGTCTGTGTGCATATAGCCCATTAGCAGTTTTAATTAAAATCAGTCATCTTTTTTAAAATCAATAAAGAGTCATGGTAATGTAGCAGCTTTGTGTGGATCATGATTATAGTGTTGTGGTTGCCTCTAATTTTAAATCACTGCACATAGTTATGATTTAAGCAAATTGGGATTTTGTACTTGCATTTTCACCCTTAGATATCTCTAATAAATTAATTAGAAACCCAGTATTGCATTTAGTGTATTACCGTGTTAAGATAAATTAACAAATAAAACTGGAATCGGACAACAACAAAATAAATAAGATCAATTCTGTTGACCCTATTGATCTTGAAGCAGAAGAGGAATAAAGCTTTTATTTTTATTATTATTATTATTAGTATTATTATTATTATTATTATTATCGTCATTATTATTATTTATTACTTTTGTTGTTAGTTTTTTGTTTTGTTTTTTATATATTTATTTTATTTTCTTACAGTTACTGTCATTTAATAACTATGTTTTTATGGTCATTGGTTAGTTGTAAAAGAGCAGAACAGTGTATTACTTGTTTTTGTAAGTATATAATATTGTATCTGCACAATGTTAATAAATATAGTTGTTTTATGTTTAAAAATTTATTTAATTACAAATAAAATGTATAATAAAATATTACAAGTATAATGGATATTAAACAACTTATTATTAAATATTTATAATTTTATACTTATTTGTCAACATTTTTTATTGAGAAAGAAATTTAAACAGCCTGTTTCACAGAAATTTTGCAACAGAAACAGCCAAACACTGAAGGTTACATTAAAACAAGTTTCATTATATATGAAGACCCCTATATATTTGTTTCTTTTGTCTCGGTTTTCAGTCATCAGTGTTTTGATTGAATGCATGTATCAAACTTCAGTTCCAAGTCAAAGCAGCATGAAATGCCTTATTAAAGAACCTGCGTGTCTTTCATTTGTTTGATCACTTCGATTCACCCCTGAACCATGTGCTGATGAAAGTTGTTTCTGCTTGGTGGACGTCTCAGTCTTTGAGCCTTTGATCTTCTTCCATCGCTCTGTTCATGGGGCATAAGCCATAACCTTGTGCCTTAGATGAAAAGGCTTTGCCAGTGTAAACTAGGCCTGATAGGCGGTCTCTTAAGTTCAACAAACACGCTTGTTTTGGAGATTCATTGTTTGAAGAACAAAGAACAGATGCAGTGTGTGCATTTCGCTGTGGTGGCTTCATATTTGTTTATAATGCTTGTGGAGATCTTGCATATATATATATATATTTTCTCCCCAAATAGAACTAATGATTGTTGTTGGATTAATAAGTCTGAGCCAAATATCTTGGGGTCCAAATTGCGAATGAAAATAGACAGAGCCTTGTTTCCATTCTGTCACATAGTGAAAACAATCTGCCTCTTTTCTGTTTAGCTGGAGAAAGCATCATTCTTTCCTACGTCTCTTAAAGGAAAACTCCACCTTTTTGTTGTTTTTTTTTGAAAATAGGCTCATTTTACAACTTCCCTAGAGTTAAAAAGTAGAGTTTTACCATCTTTGAGTCCATTTAGTCAATCTTCTAGTGGGAGAACATTTAGCGTAGCTTAGCATAGATCATTGAATCGGATTAGACCATTAGCAAATAGCTCAAAATGGCCAGAGTTTTGATTAATTCAGCAATTTAATGTTTTACTCTTCTGTGGCTACATCATGTATCAAGGCCGATGGATCTATACTCTCATTCTGGCGTAATAATCAAGGAACTTTGCTGCCGTACCATGGCTGCAGCAGTCACAATCATAGTTTGTGGATTTTAACTGGTGGAGGGTTTTGTGATGGGGACTATTTTCAGGTGATGTTTGATATCAATAATACAATGAACTGTTCCTTTTAAAATCAGAGTCTGAATGTGTTTCTGTATTTAACTGATCATTAAAAATGCTTAATTTTTTTGTGTACTGCAGGAGGACATAACATCAGTGGAAGTGCCCACAGAGGAAGTCCCAGCCCCTGTGGATGAAGCTTCCTCTGTCATGGACGACTTTCAAGAGAGACGAGCTCAAGCTATTGCTGCCAAGGCTCGCGAAATTGAAAAGGTGTGAGAAATACCTTATTTCCTTTTATTAATTTATTTCCATAGTGTCTGAAGTAAATGGGAAGAGTGTGTTGTCATTTTCGTTTTAAATGATCATTTATTTTAGTGGTGGTATGTTATTAATAGGGCTGCCAGAGATAAAGAAATAGTTAGCTAATAATAGCAGATTTATTTTCAGGCTAATTAGGGAGTCATAAAACAAAAAAACGGCACTTTCTGAGATTTTAACATAGAAGACATCGTTAATAAAAATAATAATAATATTTCCTTACATTTATATAGCGCTTTTCTGGACACTTAGTGCTTTACACATTAGGGGAAATCTCCTCATCCATCGCCAATATGCTGCATCCACCTGGATGACACAACGGCAGCTATTAAACTGAATATTGAGAATGGAGTGACTTAATTTTTTCCGCACATCTTTCACTGGCAGCAAACTAGAGGTTGTAGGGGCATGGCTAAGCATATATTGCCCGACTTGTCAAACTGACGTCATCTTGCTCTGATTCAGGGCTCATTTTACCGATCCCCCTCCTCAGCTGCCCTCCTCCCCCGTCCCGTGTTCACTATCATTTTCTTCCGTGACTCTCCAACCCACTTCACTTTCTTGCGCAACAAACCCCCCACTCTTCACTTTCGTTTTTCATCCACGACACCCCTCCACTTTCGTGCGCGACACCTCTCCATCCTTGGGTAATATGCCGGATACGTTACCCCGATCTGTTTCGGGACCTTGCAATTCACAAATTAAGCACAACTCTGATTATTTATTCACCTTAAGACTAACATTGTGCTCTAGCAAAATAAATACTGTAAAAAAATTTCACGTGGACTTAAAGTACTTTTGAGTGCTACTACTTTCATGTATTTTTGCTCTTGACCTCTGTTTGGCCATTGCTTTTACTAAGGTGATAAATAGGCAAAACTCTCTCTGCTTTCTATACAAGTTCAGAATGATGGTAATAAAGTCCCTGCTCTCTCCTATGTCTTTTTACTGGCCCTATTAAAAGAGAGATGGGATCCCCCAGGAGCGCTGCACCAGCCCTCCTATTGAGCTCTTGCCTTCGGCTCAATAGCTGCTGACGCAGCATGATTTTAACTGTCGGCTTTTGACACAACCTTGAGCTTTATTGGGTTATTTACATATTGAAAACAAATTTGAGTTTTGAATGCATGGTTTGAATTTGAACTTGAGCGTCTTTTTCTACTGTAAAAATATATTTCTGTTGCTTGTTCAAGATACTTATTTAAAATGAGCTGAGACAACTCAATTCTTGAGATTTCTTTCTTAATTGTTTTACGTTCAATCCACTTAAATTTGTTTACTTTGTGTTTGGACAACATGAATTGTGTAAAACTCTGCATTTTTTAAAGTGTGCAGAAATTATTCACATATCTTAGTGAATGCCAGCAAATGTTTGTTGAAAAAAGGTGCAGAGTACAGAGATGGCTAGACCTGATTGAGGGAAAAGCTAAACATCTGGTGGACACTTAAACAGAAAAAAACACACACTGAAATAACAGGCTTTGGCCTGAAAGGCATCCACACACTGCCACTGAAGTATGTGCATTCAGGGCAAATCAAAACACTTCAGTAGAAGTGATGAAAAAAGATGAAAAAGTGACTAAAAGGGTAGATATTATACAGCATGTCGTTTTTTCCCAATATATTAAATACATGCGATATGCATCATTTTAACTGTCAGATTTGCAAGTTTTTATCCACGTTTGGACTAATTAAATGGAAAAGAGTGTTTAACAATTCTTCAAATTTGTTATATTATTCAAATAGTCATATAGATTTGCAATGAAGTGTCATTTTATTAACTAAAATCTATTAAGCTATTACAGTAAGAGCTTTTATAGTTTTTATCTATTCATTTGTATGCTCTTATTTGTTTGATGAACTTCCACCCAACAGTGAGCATATTCTTCAAACAAGTTGAGTTCCACTCATGCTCAAAGAGGAATCTAGTTGGCTCTCGAATGTTTTGTTTCGACCAGCAAGACGTTTATTTTACAGATGAGCCCGTGCGATTTTAACAAGCCTGAATTCCTTACTGCTAAAGAGCTGTAAGTAGGGCATCTTTGTTGTGATAGTTCTGCAGTCCACGGTGAGGCTTAATCTGGGTCTGTAGCAAAGCTTTCAGGTCCGTCAGGGATGTTTGATTTCTTCCTTCTTTAATCCTATGTGATGTTTCTGATCTAAATATGTCAGATCAAATAAAATAATAGACTCATACACAGTCATCCCCAAAGACTGTGTTTTTATGCTTATGTTTTAGATGCTCCTGTTTCAGATTACAGGCATTACCAAGACATATTTCTCCCCATTAAATTAAATGTATATGCTTGCAAATTATAAATAAATGCCTTTTGGGTTTATAGATGTGCAGCCAATTATTTGATAGAATGCAGTCTAATTTAGGAAATAGCATTGTTTTTATTGGTTTTAGCCATAGCTAGCATCCTAGCAAGCATTTTTTGTTTTTAAAAGATGTCTAATAGACGTCTAAACATAGTCGTTTTGACTAAAACAAGGCTAAATTTGGGCTGTCCGTGAAAATCTAATAGATGTCTAACAAAAGGCCAAAACTAGACTAATCATCAAATAAACAGAATGACTACACATATAAAGTCTGTCTGATCTGTGTATTTGTCTGGTTTTCGACTATTCTTACATATCTAATAGATGTAAAATAGACATCAAATAATAGTTGTCTTAGCAAAAACAAGGCTAAATTTGGGCTGTCTGTGAAAATCTAATAGACGTCTAAGAATAGGCCAAAACTAGACTAGTGGGCACATATACAGAAATGAATGATAACACATATAAAATCTGTCTAATCTGTCTATTTGACTGCTATAGTCTAGTTTTGGACTATTCTTATATGTCTAATAGACACCTAAACATAGTCATCTTTGCTTAAGTCTAAATTTGGGCTTTCAGTGAAAATCTAATAGACGTGTAACGATAGGCCAAAACTAGACAAGTCATCAAATAAACAGAAATGAATGACTACACATATGAAGTCTGTCTATTTGATGGCTATAGTCTAGTTTTGGACTATTTTTAGATGTTTAATAGATGTCTAATAGACGTTTAAACATAGTCGTCTTGGCTAAAACAAGGCTAAATTTGGGCTGTCTGTTATAATCTAATAGATGTCTAAGAATAGGCCAAAATTAGACTAGTGGGGACATAAACAGAAATGAATGACTACACAGATACAGTCTGTCTATTTGATGACTATAGTCTAATTTTTGGCTATTCTTAGATGTCTATTAGATTTTTACTGACTGCCCAAGTGTAGCTTTGTTTTAACCAAGCTGTCTAAATTTAGATGTCTATCATACGTCTATTAAACACACATTTTTTTTGCTGAGTTAGCTTGTGTATAGTTTATTATAGCTAATATTAGTTTAGTCCATTTTGCTTTGAGCACAGCTGATTATCTTGAAATTCATACACCAAAATATAACTTTTAGGTTTTTTAATAATAAAATTGACTTTTGTCATGCTAAACTCGAATTGAACTTTAGGAGAACCACTCTTCAAGTTATTAGCTTAAAGATGCTTTCCCAGTTTTCCCTCCTTGTCCCACCCTTCCTGAATAATTCTTTGCTATCTTGATGAAGAATCAGCCTCCCAGAGTACAAAAATGACACATGAAAGGCTTAACAATAACACACACACTTTCTCTCTCTCTCGAGGTCCCATTCAGCCTTCCTGTTGGAAAGGGTAGCAGAGGTGGGGTTCGCAGGAAGCGAATGGAACTAGAACTAACTCAAGGAAATAACTTCCCAGCGTTCTTGGCATTGTTATGAATTATTAAATCACTGAGTGGATTTGTGTGCACAAAGCTTTTAAAACATTTCATAACAGGACACAGCGGCGGGTGAACGTTTTCCCTAAAATTAGCTTCATCAATTATAACCAATGCTGAAAAAACGATGAATCGAATTGTTATAAAGCAGCAGGGGCCAAATTTAATCTTTGAGAAGTTCCTTTAAACCTCTGCTTCAAGTCATCCCTGCTTACGGAGTTTAGCAGTGGTTTATTTTTAGCTTAGATGCGTTTTTTTTTCACTGAACTCAGATGACATTGTGATAACGATACCATAACCCCCGCTTCTCATCTAATCTGAACTGAATTCTCGGCCACACATGCAGTTAACGCCAACACAGACTCTCCGGCAGTTGTTCAGGGTAGTCTTATGTACCGACTTTTGGTCTTGCTTTGTTTTGGTAGTCCGTTTGTTGAATTTAAGTTCCATTTCATCTACATGTAAGCTAATTCTCATTAGATTTTAAGTAGACAGTAAGGGTTAGTGTAAGTTGACATGTACCTTATAGTCAGTTAAATGTCTGTTGAAGGAGCAGTATCAGCGGATATTAAGCAGACTGTCTACTAATACTCAAATGGATGATCAGATTAAAGTGTTACCCGACTTTCTCTTGAATATGCAGCTTTTAGTTTCTGCTCTTACCCCAAACTCTTAGCTCACAGTATTTATGCCGCACAATTTGTGTTACAGGCCTAAATGGCACCTCAAATTGTATGGGTTTCTGCTTGTTTATACAGTCAGCGCTCAACAATTTGAGATGTTTGTGGTAGACAAATGAAAGAGAGTTCATTTTAATCCAGCTAAACCGGTGTTTATAGTTGAAGTCATGTTTTTGATCGGAATCTGTTAAAAGGACAAAATATTTCCCTTACATGGTTTTTCAGATGAATTTACTGTAATGAGCAACAGAATACTGCTTGGTTTTACAGTGACTTATTTTTAAGTATTGCTTTGTGCATAACTACACTATATCTGGTGAATGTTGGCAAATATTTGCTGCAATTTCTGTACTACCACCGCCTTTAGCATGCTACTTTAAAACTCGTAATAATACAGTTGAAGCAAAATTATTAACTCTCCTGGGAGGTTTTGATTAATTTTCAGTTGTTTCTTGACTTATTTTTTTTTCTCCTGGAGAAAGCCCTTTTAGTTTGCCTGGAATTAGGGCTGCACAATATATATATTTCAGCATCGATATTGCATATGTGCGAGTCTGCAATGTAGTTGGGATTATTTAACCAGACATTACAGTTAACAACATGGTAAAGTAATTTCACATTTCAACCTTCGAGTAAAAGTTGCTTATTTGCATGTGTTTTTAAGGCCGGACTGTAAGAATTTTGACAAAAATGAAACAAAAATGATAAAGTGTTATTATTATACAGTGATTATTTAATTTCTGCTTTTGAATACAGTTTGACTCCCCAGAAAACCTTAAATCACTGTTGTTTTGCATCTTTTGTCTGTTGTATTAAATTATGCTTGTCATTTTTTAAATTATATTTTATGTGAGACGCTCAAAACACAATCAATACACATCATTCCAAGCGATCTAAAGTTATGAACTCTGTACCAGCTATTCAAGTCGTCTAGTAAAATTGCATTTATTTTGCAATATGTACCGCAGTGAATGAAAATACTGTAATGGAAGTTTTTTCCAATATTGTTCAGCCCTAGCTGAAATACATATTTATATATTAAAAACCTCCAACGTCAATATTACTATTGTTTTTATGATATTTTTACCTTTAGAGTCAATATAACAGCAAACAGAACTCTGTTGTACAATGACTGTATTGCCTAATTAACCTAACTTTCCTAGTTAACATAATTAACCTAGTTAAACCTTAAATTTGCAATTTAGGTTGAGTATCAGTTGTGAAATAACTAGTAAAATATTACATACTGTCAACATGACAAAGACAAAAGGAATTAGTTATTAGATCTTTGCTAAGAAGCACTTGAGAAATGTTTTTGAAAGAATTCAATAATTCTAAATTAATAATTTTGGCTAATAATTGTGTCTTCAACTGTAAAATACATCATCTGCATTGTAAATCCAAAATCATATTGTACTATTCCATCATTACCATTAAGTTTCTTGCTCTAGAAACCATGTTTATTGGTTGCCCATTAATGCAGTTTAAAAAATCACACACTATATGCAGTCTGCTTAACCTGCAGCCTCGGGCTCCTAAGAGCTTCCTTTCTACATCATTTATCCATTCTATTCTGGAATGTTCTAATTGACTATTAGAGTCTTCTCAGTGAACCTCCTCAGCTTAATGACTATTAGAGGCAGTTCTCACACAAGAACTGGGCTTTGTGTGTGGGCTTTGGTGATTCCTGGAACCAGGTGATCTCATTTTTACTAGAACCTGACTCAGCCATGGGAAAGAGGCCTGATGTGAAAAGCTAATGAGGAGCTTGCTGCAAAAAAAAGAAAGAGAAAAAAAAAAGAAATTCTTAGTCAGCACAATTAGTTGGGTGGGCACATTTTTTTTTCCAGATAAAAAAAAGCTTGTGGAGGCAGGTAGTAAAAATCAAAGAGGATATGAATTGTCTTTTTATTGTTATTGTTATACTTTGTAAAGTTTTCTGTTCCTATAATATTTAAGCACTTCCAGATGTTACTTCATGGCTATTCAATCTGTCGGAAACTGTTGAGAACTTAAAGCATCAGATTATTTTTGAGTTTCTCATTAGTTATCCATCTTGTGTTGCTCCATGCCATTGTAAAGTTGTGATGGTCGGATTTTCATCTCCTGAATGTAAATTGTAGAGTAAATTTTAAGATATCATCTGCTGCTATAAGTTACATGTCCTAAGGGTTGTGTGTGAGTGAAGGTAATTGCAGAGGTTATGCAGACTCCCCTGGGTCTGAAGCACGGCTTTGATGTCCAGAAGTGTTTGATTATCCAACCACAGTAAACATAACCGAGCTCTGAGAGTTTTGGTTTGGGGCTTTGTTCTGTCGTCTGGATGGCAGATCAGAAAGACAGAACCTTCGCTTAAATATACAGCAAAACTGTTCTCCACCCTTGTGTCTTCTGCGAACAAATTATTCAAAAGGGTTTTATCAATGGTTCTATGAGATTTTGACACTACGGCCCAATCCTAATTCTACCCCTTAGCCCTTTCTACCCTCTAACCCAGGGGTCACCAATCCTGGTCCTGGAGGGCCGGTGTCCCTGCAGGGTTTAGCACCATCTTGCCTCAACACACCTGCCTGCATGTTTCAAGTACACCTAGTAAGACCTTGATTAGCTTGTTCAGGTGTGTTTGATTAGGGTTGGAGCTAAAATCTGCTGGACACCGGCCCTCCAGGAACAAGTTTGGTGACCACTGCTCTAACCCCTCGTTTAGCGTGTTCACTTGAACGGGTAGGGGTGTCATAATTCTTTTTAACTTGGAGGCGTAGGGCTAAGGGGAAGTGCTAGATAACCCTCGAAAGGGAGATTTTTCAGGACCACACTCGAAACCAAGGGGTAAGAAAATTTCCCTCAATACACCATCTACAATGGCAGCATGGCCATTTACATCTGACACTCGATAACACTCAAATGTCCTGTCAGAAATTTCTAGTGGCCGGGAATTAGCCTTTTACAGTGTCTGGTATAAAGTAAATGTTGTTTTCGTGTGTTTACATAGATGATTATGGCTACTGTGTAAATGTACAATACAGTTACGAGCTTATTGCAACATTATATGGTAATTATAACATGATATAGGCCTTCAGTGAATTCCTGGAGATAAATACCAAATAACGCAACTGGAATAACTACAGCAGTCGTGATTGTTGATCTCATGTGAAGCAAGAGATCACGATTGCATATGATGATGTGTGCAGGTGTTGTAGCGCTATCCCATTTCTTAGGGGTAAATTTTAAAGCCCTTCCCCTTCGCACTTTGTTTCAAAGGTGAAAGGGTAGGGGTACAAAGATAGAATTGGGATTGGGCCTATGTCATCTCTGGCAACACTTAGATTCAATAGATTGCTAGATTAATGTTTTGTCTTGGGGTAGCGCCAATGAAATGTATAAAACTTAACATTGTGCTCGGTGGTGTCTGGGGTTGTCAATAGTATTGCCTTTGGAACCAATTTAACCTAGCATTTGTGCGCTCTTGAGCATATTCTAACCACTGCTGATTGGCTATTGTGTTTACATGCTCAACAGATATGACTGTGGCCAATTAGCTGTTTAAGAATGTGCTCAATGTTAAGAATGTGCTTAAATGTTTGATGGATGCTTTTTAAATGTCAGTAGTCAACAGTTTTGACAACTCTAGTCATGTTATTCAGAATTAAAATGAGCTATCAACGATGTAGGTGACTGTATTTTTATTCCGTGGAACATTAAGAAGTATTTTTGTTGAAATTGTAGTTCTTAGTTATTCATAAAACTCTTTTGAGAGTCAATAACACATAGACTAAAAAAAAGTTATGGGAATCAACATGTTGACAAAACCGACATAGTTTGATCTCTACTTTGAGTCTTGATTATCCCCCAAGATCATTGAGACATAAACATATACTGTTATATGTTCATTTACTATGACTGTTCTTAAGTCATCGTGTTGGAAATTGCTGAGTTGTAATTCTATCATTGCCCTGTATGTTCAATAGGTCTATCGTCAGGACTGCGAGACGTTTGGCATGGTGGTGAAGATGCTGGTTTCTAAGGAACCTAGCTTAGAGAAGCACCTGCAAAACCCACTGAAAGAGAACCTGATCGAGATCCGTGAGCGATGTCTTGAGGACTTGCAACACTTCATTGCTGAACTCGACGAGGTGGTACGACAGCCCGAACCTGCTGTCTAAGGTGGCCTCGTTTTTCCTGAAGTTTTTTTTTTTCTAAACCTGTACTCCTTTATTGTTTTTATAAAGGATCTCATTTATGTGAAAGGATGTCATTTATGTGAAAGCCATTGTACACTGTACATTGTGTCCACACTTCCTGGTACACAACAAACGAAAACATCTTGAAATATTGCCTTCATGCAATCCCGTTCATCCACTGAGGCTAGTTGTTAGGTTGTATAAACTCTTTGTAACCTTTTGAGCAGTAGGATAAAGTAAAGAAATGAGATGGTAAGCATAAAGTAATGACACAGGAGGGTCTCTCGTTCATTACGGAAGCTAAAGAGGTTTATTAACCTGTTGGGGAAATTTATTGAATGATGACTGTCGTCATGATCAAGTATGGTTAAATCGAAAGGGTTCTATGATGTTGCCAATGAAGACACTTAAAGTCCGACCAATGACAATTTGATGAATTATGAAACCTGATCTTTATGGGTTCAGCTATTTGCTGCTATTTGTAGTAATGTTAAGTTGTGCAACTGACAGTAGAACACATTTTTTTTATTATTAAACTTTCCAATTAACATATTATGAAAACCCAACACAAGTGTTTATGTAGTTTTTTTCTTTGTATAGTATTAAAGAGTCTGAACCTACTACAGTACATGTTTTCCTTTTGATTTGATGAGCCCGTTTTGTGGTTTCATGTTTGTAATTAAATAAAATTGCTGTTTGCTATTACACTTTTACTCTTATTTTCTTAAGAAGCCATAGGGAAAAAAAGATCAAGTTGCAAGGGAATGTTTTAAATCTCTCTTGAAATATTTTATTGACATCTCAACGATAAAAAGGATAGCATGGTTACCTGTGGTGTATTGTGTATATACTAGAGGAAAGATTCCCCTAACATTGTTTAAGCGCATAAACACATTATGGACAGAGAAATCTTAAAGGGTGCACTTATTACACCTTGTAGAATAACATAACGAGGGCATCACGCATGAATAGTGCATATATATTTTGCATTTGCAAATCCCTGGTCAGCAAACCTCAATTAGTTCATTTAATAATCATAAAAACTCCATCAGGTCAGTAAATTGTGGTAATTACTCATTTAACATAATTGGATATAAAAATATCAGTATTCCAATCTTAATTTAACAAATATACATCGCTTGCACTATTAAATAATTATTTAGTTAGTCTACATGCTACTTTTATTTCGCTTTTGGGAATAATGCTTTTGCTATACAATGTACAAGGAAATCTTACATGTTACTTTCTTTGTTTGTACAACAGCAACGTAATTGGCTCTCAGTGTTTGTAAAGAGAACTTTCCATCTTCTGTAGGATCAGGCATGAGTATATTCCAGCTGAAACAGAGGCAATCTTCAGTCTAAGAAATTATGCAGTTCTTGCCCTTGTGACCTTTCTTTTTCAGTTTGGTCCTTGAGCCAAAAGGAGGCGTTAAAGCCGTGACCCGAGTCGGATAGTCCTCTGTGTAATAATGAAAACTTTGGGATCGGGGCTTAGGGATTGGCTGACCTAGAAAGAATCCCTCCTCCTCAGATTCTGAAGATGAAGAAGAGCATGTTGAACACCAATCATCTTCTTCGTCATCATCACAAAAGTCCTGGAATTGGTCCAGTCGGACCATACCTTGCTGAGGAAAGTCTGAGGTGGTTTGACGATAAGGGTGCTGACTGTGCGCCGAGTGATTTAGTAGAATACCATTCCTGGGCTCTGGCATGTTTGAGCTGATTACCTGAGGCACAACATGCAGTTTCCCACGATTTTTGGAAGGCAGGTGCAATGCATTTTCTGAACGCGTTTTCCGACTGTGCCTGCGTTTGTGGTGATGTCTGTTAGCAGGACGTCTCTCTGCTGCTGCCGCTGCCTCCTCCTCTATGTGAAAGGTCCTCCTGCGTGTCCTCTCACTCATTGGTGGTTGCCTTAAGCCCAGTGCACCATAATACCCTTTCTCCAGAACATCATCAGAGAACTTTACTTGCTGAGATCTGGATTGCGGCTGAGATTGTGACTTGGTCCTTCTCAGCACTGGAAGATTCAGAGGAGATGGTGGTTCTGCTCCAAAATATGGTGGTATTCTGTCCTCTTCATCGTCTTCTCTTGCTCCCTGCCCCAGTGTCTCCTCATGACCTAGCTCGGAGTTTAAACTCCTCAGGGAATTAGCACTTCTGTGGAGCATTGAGGAGTTTAGTGTGCCTACGTTACTAATGTTATCACACTCTTCTATCTCTCTTTCTTGGTCTTTCATGTTTTGGAGGGAGTAAATGGTCTGTCTGTCCTTGCTGTCCCCATCCACTGAAGCTCCTGAAAATAGAAAAGATGTTGTGAGTAATCTAAAACGAAGAAGGAATAAAAGTTTTGATACTCTAGGAGAATCTGTTTTAAGATGACATTATTACCTGTAATATTTGAGAGAGCCAGAGAATCCATAGAATCTCCAATATTGTGGTCTGCCTTCCGGAGTTCACTTGTAATGCACTCTAATGAGTCTTCATACCATTGCCTTGGCTCAGACCAAAATCCAGGTACTGTTCCCTGATCCATCTCCAGCTCTTGAATCTTTCTAGCGCTAGCTGGTCCAGGGTGACTACCATAAGCAGAGTCTCCAAGTCCATCCTGAGACTGGGCCCAATACATGTCAGTGTGGTGCTTTTTACTTGCCAAATTGTGGCCGCTCATCTTTATCTCTGGTTTGGTTCGGTTGGTTTCGGTGTCTTTCACCATCCATGGCTCTGCTGCCCTGCTGTCCTCTGCGTGGATGACACCACGGTCTCCAAATTTCAGGAGCAGCTGAGTCATGTAGTCCTCATGCTCAGCCCAATCTTCCACAGAGTCCTCAGGGGCTTCCTGCTCATCTCGCTCTCTCCAGTAGTTGTCTTCTGTAAAGTTGATTCTCTCCAGCTGATGACACATTGTCTCTGTGTTGTCGCCACATAGACTAGAGGTCCTGTAATCTGTTGCTGAGTACAATTTTGTCTGCTGGCACTGTTCTGTGGGGCGACTACTCTTGCCCATTCGAATACTGCGTCGAGATTCCCGTGATCTGGCGGACTGAAAAGCGGAGTCTGAAGAATCAGAAGCCTGGACATCCTCACCTAGGCTACAGTCCTTAGAGCAGTAGATACGACCATCTTTTGGAAGGAAGGGACAGCCCAGCAGAGAGGTTTTACATTGTGCACAACAAAAGCATTTGTCAGTAGCGTGCCAATGTACACCCTCGTACGTCATTTGAGCATGGTCGACTCCTGTATGAAGGTAAATCAAGTGAGAAATGCTGTAATTTATCAGCTTCATATTTAAGCAACAGGTTTTCATTACTGCTACTGGAAAACCATCCTCTAGCACGGTGTTTCTCAACCACATTCCTGGAGGACCACCAACAGTACATGTTTTGGATGTCTCCTTTGTCTGTCACACCCATTTCAGGTCATTCGGTCTCTGCTAATGAGCTGATGATCTGAATCAGGTGTGTCTGCTTAAGGCGATCAGGAAAATGTGCAGAGCTGTTGTTCCTCCAGGAACGTGTTTGAGAAACACTGTTCTAGCAGATATTTGTCCAACTTTACTCCAGGTGTTTGCGATTACTCTATATTCTTATGTAGGACTAAATTGGAGCAAAACCTTGCAAGAAAGTGGCCTTTCAGATGGATTGCTTAGTGTCTGTGTTATTTAATGAAACTCACCAATATTCTCTCCACAGGCCTCGCAGTACTCTGCATACAATGACTCAAAGCATCCACAACAGAAGGGTCGGCCATCTTTCATGATGTACCTCTGTCCTCCTAAAATAGTCTCGCACTCAAAGCATGAAAAATGTTTCATGTGCCAGTGACGACCCTCAGCTTCGGTACACTCGTCAGCAAAGATAATCTGTAAAAAGATGTGAAATTATTTTTCTTTCTTGGACGGGTTTGTTTTTTGTTTTTTGGTTATTACAAGTGTATGCATTCTCACCTCATCACATGCTGAGCAACGTGGCTTCAGAAGCTCTGCATGATGTCTGCCGCAGTGGATATTGCCATTGTGGTAGAAATAGATGAGGTCCACCAGAAGTTCATGACAGGTGTAGCAAGTAAAGCATGCTGGGTGCCAGCAAGGGCCGGGGCCTGCTCTCGAAGCAAACACTGCCATCTCTCCACCGTTGATGTTCTCTTTACACTAAAATTCAAAGATGATATTTTATGAGAACCAGTGGCTGACAAATGACAGTCAAAGTCATTGTACTGGATTTTGCTCTGGATTCTTTTTCGGTACAAAGACATTTAATTAAAATGGACCCCCAACTATGTTGAAATGTTCTTCTAAAGACCAACTGAGCATGACCAAAAGCACGATCATAAGTCTTTTTATAAGTACTTTTGCCAAAGTATTCATTTCACAGCTGCTTCCCATTATTACTACATGGCTGTTGGCCTTGGAAACAGGGGTGTTGAGTGTCGCGCAATTTTTTTTTTAGGCAGCAGAAACCAGAGACCCGAGATTAGCACTGCTCTACAGTGTGTTATGTGGCAATTTGTGGTGAAGGGATACATCTGTTTTTCAGAGGTATTATGATGCCAAATTTATTTTTTTTTTTGGTTTGTGTTTATAAGACTACCCAACAGGAAGCGACTCTCTGCAGTGGCTCTCATGTGCTAAACTCCAGCCCCTGAAGGAGATGATCTTCAGCCAAAGATTGTGTTGTAATGCTTAATCTTTTCCATGAATTTTCTCTGTGCTTTGGTTGTCTTTAGGCCATAATTGGACCATTTGCCTGATTCTAAGTTGTCTGATTTGCCATGACAAGTCAACACTGCTTCCAAGGGAATGTAACGTGAAGCAGAAACTTCATTTTCATAACCGTAAGTAGATTTGCTATGACTAGAAATAGTTGATCAAATGAGTGCACAGTTTGAATGTGGCCTACCTTGAACTCTGATATTTGCAAGTTAGATTTTACTAAAATGTTTACAGATGGTGAGAAAAAGAGCAGGAACATTCATACGTACATGCTCACAATTATGTTGCAGAGCTCTGGGAAGCAGTTTTGGGGTCCCCCTCCCAAGTGCCTCTTTCTTTCTTTGCATGCTGAACATGTGGAGTTCTCGTCTCTCTTCATCACTGAGGGACTGGCAGTATCGAATCTGTGTTGAAGCAAAGGTAAAGGAAATAACAGATGAATATCTTCAATTTTTTTTTTTTATCAAAGGCTTCATTCACATTCGAAGTGGTGGAAACAGAAAAGTTCCTTTTTTCTCTCTTTTTTGTGGGGCGCTAAGTTGAAAAGTACACAAATCAACCTCTGAGTTTACAATGGACTTGTGGAACTCATACAAGATGACATAAAGGGAAACCATTTGCTCTGTTTAGCCCTGCAGGAGGGATAAACAATGATGCCACATGTGAAGAGTCTTTAGATCTATAACCCACAGTTATGCCAGGAATTCGCTAAAGTACACAGTTCTAGTTCTTACAGCAAGCACCATAAAAATTACAGAGGAACTGCTGCTAGCCAAAGGAGAAGATGCCCCTCTGTGATAGCTCTAAATACTTTTGCATGCTTGTATGCAACTGTACTTGTACGAGGATAAAGTCTTGTGTATTCTAGCAACATAGATGTCATCTCTATCACTTTGATTGTCTAGTTTTTCCCTCGTACCTCATTGTCGTGGGGTGGCAGCTGATAGAGTAGTTGTCTGATCCTGTGCTTCTCTCCAGGGCTGTTGACATAT